GTGAGAAGGCTCTGCCCCCTAAAACTCACAACCCAGTCCAGTCAGGAGAGCGCGTCAGGCAAGCCCCACTGCGGGCGTCCTGCAAGCACCCGGCCGGCTTTCAAGGCCACAGCGGTTGAGTGACCGTCACAGCCAGCAGAGCCTTCAGCTGCTGCTGCGCGGGGCCTAGGACAAGGGGCAGGTGAGCACGTGAGCACGACGCGGTCTGGGCCGCTAGTGGCGACTCGCGTGGCCAGCTCACCCTGCGTAGGTGCCTAGAAAGCTGCTGTGCTGTCTCTGTTCCAAAGAAGCCCCTCAGGCCCCCTCGCGGCTCAGGGCTGTCTCGGCACTGTGAAGCTGCCCGCAGCCCCCGCAGCCCGAGTCTGACCCGCCGGGGACGGACGCCCAGGCGCGGCAGCCCTCCCGTGCGCCTGCCGCTCCCCTTTCAGGGGATCCTCCCTTCTGCTCTCCGCTGTCTCTGGAGACTCCTCTCGCCCCACCCCCCGCTTCTGTGTGCATAATACGTTTTTTAGAACTTCCTCCCATGCTGTCCCAGAGGCCTGAACCCCCAGAGCCCGTGGGGGCCCGCAGCCCTTCGGCCATAGGACTGGTGAGCCCCGCGCTGGCCTCCTGACAGTAAAGCAGGCCACAGTGCCGCAAAGGGGCAGCCTGTGGCCATAGCCAGCCCAGTGGCCACAGCACGGCAGCAGAGGGGGCGAGCGGCACCCCGGTTCCAAGGGGGGCCTTCGCAGCTGTGTCTGCTGTAGGGGCAGCGGCCCCCCGCCCCCCACTAGGAATCCTGGGGCGCCCGCGGGCTGCCCACCCATCCTCAAGTCGCCTCCCCCAGCCCCGACTCCGCTGTCCGCACGAGGAGGCCACGCCTAGGACAGGAGCAACAGAGCCGCAGAGGCGGCGGGCGCCTGGTCCCCGCCCGCCCAGGCTCCCGGCCGAGGGTCACTGTGGGGCCAGCTGAGCCCTCCGTCTCTGTCCTGTCTCTGAGTCTTGGGCAGAGTGGCAGCTGGGGTGTCACCCAGCCAAGGGGGCTGGGATCACTGCCGCCAGGACGGCAAGGACTGTGGAAGGGACCTTCGTCCCGCAGGCAGGCCGGATAATAAGGCCCCCCCGAAGGCCCCTTGCAGCTCCGAGACAGCGCGGCTGGAAGGCAGAGGGACCCCGGGGCCGGCCCGGGCTGTCCCCCCCCGCAGTCTGTCTCGCAGAAGCCCGCGAGGCCCCAGGGGATGTGTCCCAGCTGCGCGGGACACTGCAGGCTGAGCAGAGTGGCGTTTCTTCTCCACGACAGCCCCCCCTACACACACACTGAGGGGCGTGACAAGGGACAGGAGCAGGACAAGAGGGCACTCTGGGGGGCGCCTCGGGAGCTCCTGACAAGAGCTCGGCCGAGGTCCCGAGCACAGCAGGCCTTGCGGGAGGCAGGTCTGGGAAGACACGCAGATGCGTGTCGTGCATGACGCATGTTCGTGCATTTTACACGAACATGGGGGGTGGAGCTGGGGGGAGGACCCGGGTCGCAGGGACTCACCTGGAGGCCGATCAGGCCCCGCCGGCCCGGTCCTCCTCCTCCGTGGGAAGCGGCCCGTCTGAACCCAGAGGCTGTTGCCCACCTATGCCCAGCAAGCCAGGTGCGGGGAGGATGGGCCGCAGCCAGGCGCATGCAGGCGTGGGCTTCCCCGTGGCCCTGCGGCCCTGGGCTGGCAGCGCTCCCACCTCGCCCGCCCCGGGCCCTGCGGGCCTCCCTGCCAGCGCTGCCCAGGTGGGCGGGGGCGCCAGCCGCCCGGTGGAGCCTCCGCAGCAGAGCTCAGGCCTCTCAGATGGCTCCGACATGCTGAGAATACTCTCGTGCGTCTTTCTGCCATCTGCTGCTGTCATTAAGGAATCACATTTCCATCTGCCTTCGCACTGTGCTCCTCGCCGGCCGCCCTCCTGCAGGCGCGCGGCGTGAATTCCAAGTTGCCGCGGAATGTCCCCTGGCCTCTTGGAACTTGGGCGCCTCCCAGGACACACCGGGGCTGAGGCCCGGGCAGTGGGTGGCGAGCAGAGCGGTCCCCGTGCCACGCGCGCCGGGGAGCAGCTCACAAGGCCTTGCCATTGCTGGTGTCGATCAGGGTGTGTGACTTGGCATTAACAATAAAGGGGGGAGGTGGCCCTCCCTGGGGGCGCGGCGGGTTAAAGCGCAGCACTGAGAAGCTAAATCCACTTCCGCAGGAGTTCGATTCCCGCCTGCCCCGGAGGTGACCACAGAGCGCGGCAGACCTCTCCTGACCCGCCCGCTGCTCCCCTCAGCAGTGGACTTGATCGATCTGCCTGTTCTGCTCCCCATTGTGTCTCTGATGAGGCCTCTCGCCACCCCTGAGCCTCTGGCCTGTACCCCAGTTCTGTATGCACAAATAAATAAATCTTTAAAAAAAATAAAAAAAATAAAAAAATAAAAAATAAGGACACTACAGGCATCTGCTGTTGTCCCCTGGGGATGCAGTTGGGGGGCGACAGCCTCGGGAAGTTAAGACTCAGAGAGCCGTGACACGGTCGAAAGTCGTCACTTCCATCACTCCAAGGGACACCCCACCTTTGACGAAAGGTCAGCTCCACGCCCACACAGGCACCCGCTGCTCTGCCCAGCTCCTGCGCAGCCCGGCGGTCGGGCCCTCGCTGCAGCACTCGTGGGCCCCGACTGCGTCCCCCCAACCCAGCTGCCATCCCCAACAGGACGCTGGGGAGACCAAGGCTCAGAGGCCCAAGTAGCCAGCACAAAGTGGGCGGCTGATAAACAGGGTGCAGGGGTGGGCACGGGCTCGGGCTGGAGGCAGACCCCAGAAAGGCTCCCACGGGGGTGGCTTCTGCAGAGGTCGACCCCAGGGCGCCCCAGGAAGCGAGGGGCGGTGCAGACAGCAGATTAAAGGAGCCTTCGCACCATCCATCTCACCCTCGGTTCCGGTCACTGGGGCCCCCCCGATGAGCAAGCGGCCTCCAGAGTGGCTGGGACCCCACCACATGTCCACCGTGGGCACTTTGCTGTGCCAAGCGTCACTCCCACCTCGCCCTCCCCGGGCCCATGGGCCCCCCGCCAGCAGTCCCTTGGAGATGGTTTCACCGCATGCTCCGTGAGGCGGGTCCTCTTACTTCAGGACAGTTGCGTGACTTTCCCAGGTCACACAGCATAATGGGGGGCTGGCTGACACGGCCCGCTTGCTCATGCTCAACCCCCCAAGCTCTCCCACAGTTCCTCAGAGGGAGGCTGGGGCTGCAGTGGGGCACCTCCTCCCCTCTCTCCTGCCCTCCAGCTCGGAGCACTCCCTCCACCCTGCACCCCCCTTCTGGGAGACAGAGCTTGCTGGGGAGCAGAGGCTCGGGCAGGCGCTGGGCAGGGAGACTGCAGTTGGGGTGCAGGCGTCACTGGGAAGAGCCCCTCTCCCTTACTCAGCAGACCCCACTCTGGGCGATGCCATCTCTGGCGCTCCCTTCACCGGGGTGAGCCCCTGCTGTAAGGGCCAAAGCCTGGGCCTGCCAGACCTTTGTCGGCAAGAACGTTGCTCAGCAACCCCGGAAAGCCAAATCCAGCCTGGGGCCGCCCGGCCTCTGGCCACGCTGCCGCCAGTTGCCATGGGCACTGAAAGCCTGGGCCAGGCGGACATCAGCTGTGCAGACCGGGAGGGGCGGGAGGCCCTGAGCAAACTGTTGGGGCTCCCCCTGCCTGCGGACTCAGCGCCGCCTGACACCCAGCACCCCAGGCCAGAGCCCACGGGACTGGGGCCAAGTGTGGGATGTCACCTCTGGGCACATCTGTGGCTTGGGCGTCCCGGACAGGCAGGGACGGTCCACCCCACCTGGCAACAGCAGTGTGGCGGGGAGGCGGCCTCATGTGCCCTGGGTTCGAATCGCCCCCACCCACTGCGGCGGAAGACCTTGGGCAGGTGATTGGACCCTCTCTAAAGCCAGGTGGACTCAGTGTCTACACAGGAGACCATGCGGTCACTGTGGCTGCCAGCTCTGCCCATCTGGCTCGCTGGCCCTCCGTGCCTCGCCATCCTCCTGGACACACGCTCCATGTGATCTCTGTGCTCGGGAGGGCAAGATCTGAGCCCAGTGTGACCCAACAGGGAGCCTCGGCCACGTGGAGGTGGGGGGCTCGGGCGCCCTGACCCAACTGTGGACACCAGGGGCCTTCCAGACACAGAAGCTGGTGCTCCCGGTCTGAGGCTGGACGTCCCAGACCCGGGAAGCCCCGCCTCCTGGTTCACGGCCAGGGTGTCCACACGTGGGAGGGGAAAGGGGCTCCGGACGTGGTCGTAAGGCCCTGAGCCCACTGTCACAGCTCCACCCGGACCCCGTCACACCTGCAAGGCTCCCTCCAAACCCATCACCCCAGGGCTTGCGTCTCAACAGAGGCACTGGCCGGAGGGAGACAGGAGTCTGCGGGGGAGGGGCGCTACAGATCAAGCTCAAGGCAAGACGCCAGCAGGTGACCGGCATGGCACTCGTCTGCACACGAGGGCCACGCCCTGGCCACGCAGTGACACGTCCCTGGCCAGACGGTGGCCCCAAGGCTGGGCACGCAGCCCAGTTTGTGCGACCCTCGGGGCCCTGGTGATGCCGGCTGAGGGCAGGGCCTGGGCTCGGGAGCCCACACACGGGCACCTCCACACCGGGCCTTGTGGGACCGCGTCCACTGGCTGCAGGGGCTGCGCCAGAGGGGCAGCGGGCCCTGCGTCAGCCGGCAGCAGCATGTCCAGCCCACTGGGGCTGGGGACTTCCTGCTCCCACCCCCCCGGTGCTGAGCTCCAGCCCCGCTGCCGTCTGACCCGGTGTCTAGGGGGCTCAGCCACACAGCACAGCGCCCTGAGACCGCCTGAGGCACAGGGGCTCGGCCTGCCCCAGAGGGCTCAGACCAGCCCCAGCGAGAACTCGGGACACGGAGGCGTCTCGGTGCCGCGGGAGCCGCTGGGGAACTCAGTGGTCTCCGGGCCTCGTCCCCGTGCTGATTTTAACCTGCGTCCTCTGGCTGGACTCCCCATGACCCCCTTTTAGGGGCCCCCAACCTGAGAGTGGCC